CTACGTAATATAAATGACGCAACAACCATATAGGAGGTGTGGAAAATTCCACCACCTCTACAAAGAAAGAACATGAGGACATAGGACTATGAAAAAAAACCATACGTTGAAAGCTAGGTGATTAACTGGTACGATTATGAGCAATAATTTATGTTTGAAACACCATCAAGTAAATAATACTATATCAATATGTTATATCAAAAAATATAGTTGATGACTGCGCGTGCGTAACATACGCTTCAGCTACCTTAGTCGATGGAAACTTACAATAGGATTACTGAATGACAATTTTCATCTAGGACTACACGCCTAACTTGTACATGGCTAACTTGGTCGTTCCATGACGAATGACCAATGCTATGAAGGTAACAGGGAAAACCTATTTATGTTCGTTTTTAAAGTAAGCAGTAATCTGACAGACATTCCAGTTGCGACAATTTTTCACAGAATATCAACATTAGGGCTAGCTAACTACTTTAAGCACATAAATCTGTTTACTTATTCAAGCGGTTAAAAATATGTGAGGAATTATGAATATTAAAACTTCGTTTTCAGAATCTTAAAAGACTAGCAGCACGAGAAAAGATGAAATTTAGGAAAAATCAAACTACCTGTGGCAGTTAGAGAACATTACTAATCTGCTACTTGGGACGATTAACTGTCTCACGTGAATGCGTACCAAAGAAGACCATGGTGGCTTAATTACAGAATTTAATTTAAATACAGACACAAGGAGTAAAATAGATGTTGGTGACTGGAGAATAAGCTGCATGAATGCTACTGTTAGCAACACAAAGCACAAAGGTTAACAAAATAAAATTTCGTGAGTTAATATCCGGTTACGAGGTTTATACTTCGAGACTTCACACATTTTATCCCTGGAAAACAGCAGACACACTGAAAACCCACGATATTAATTTCAAAAAAGCCTCAGAAAAACATCGGATAAAATTGCTTTTTCAGGGTTAAAGGTAATCAGGTGGGTCTACTGTAAATGTTTCGAAGTAGTAAACTACTTTTGAATACATTTAATCTCATTTTCAGTTTTTAGAATTTACAGTGTTTAACTTCCTAGTATAACCTCGCCTAGGTAACTAGTTCACTAGTTACTAGCCGGTCCTAAGCCCGAATAAAGAAGGAAGGTTGGGCATAGGGCTAGCAACCCCAACACGGAAAACAAATCTAACAGCTAAACAAACTTGTAAGCACAAAGAAAATATTAAAAATAAAAATAAACTTATTCCTCACTGGAATCGAAGAGACGAAATGATGCCGGTTGGTGAAAGCCTTCGGGAACCCAATTGACCGATACGTCTTCTAATGTCTCAATGAAAGCGAAAGTGAGAATGGGGACATGGAATGTCCGTACAATGTTTGAAGCTGGCTGGCAAGGCTGTCCAGATTGCAAAACAGATGAGAAGGTATCGTATTGAAGTGCTAGGAATTTGCGAAAGTAGATGGAATGGAAGTGGACTCTCCAAACTGTCAACTGGAGAGGAGTGTCAGTAATCTACTTCGATATTGTCACCCAGACGACAACCACGAGCACACTGAGTTTTCGAGTGGCTATCATGATGTCCCAAAGAGCATCGAAGGCTCTCATGCAGTGGGAGCTAATCTCCTCCAGGATCATAACAGCAAGGTTCAACTCAAAAGGAAGGAAAGTCACGATCGTTCAATGCTGTGCACCTGCAAATAATGCGGATCAAGAGAAGAAGGGGGAATCCTACGAGGAACTGCAGTCAGCACTGGACAAGACCCCAGCCTAGACGGTGGTATCAAAATTCTGATGGGTGGGGTGACATGAATGCCAAACTGGGAGCGGACAACACAGGAAGAGAACTAACCATGGGCCAAGAAGCGCTGGGTCAAATGAACGAGAATGGAGAACTGTTTTCAGAATTCTGTGCATTCAACGATTTAGTGATTGGAAGCACTGTGTTCAAACACAAGGATATCCACAAAGCGACATGAATTTGATTTCACTGGATAGACACACTAAAACTCAGAGCGACTTTATCTCAATCTGAAGAAAGTGGGGATGCAGCCTACTGGACAAAAGATCAGATCAAGAAGGGGAGCAGATGTAGGTTCACACCACTCACTATCTAGTGCAAGGAACCTGCCTTCAATATCAAGTTGAAAGCCTTCACAGAAGCTGGTGATAGACCACAGTTGAAGTTCAACACCCAGAACAGAAACTGAACTGAAGGATGAAACTACAAATGACATCTTCATGTCAGCCAGTGATCAGGACAAAATGGGAGACGTTGAGCAACATCCCAGAAGAAACCTGTGTGGAAGAACACTGGAATTCTTTGAAAGCTATGTGGAAGAAGCCTGCACAACTGTATTAGGAAGGAAGAAGAATCAAGACAAGGAATGGATCTCGACGGATACATGGAAGCCGATAGAGGAGAGGAGGATGGTGAGGCAGAAGATGAACCAGTGCAAGGATGAACAACGAAAGGAGGAACTGAACACAAGCTATAAAACACTATTCTGGACAAAGAAGTGAAGAAAAGTGCACACAGAGACAAAAGACACTTCTACGACACACTTACAAGTGGAGCAAAACAGGCTACCGGTAGGAGAGACCTGACAACATTGTATCAAATAACCAGGTTACTATCTGGCAAGAGATGAACACAGACAAAACCATTGAAAGATAGTGAAGGAAACTTATTCACTACCAAAGAGAAGAAACAAAGGAAACCATGGGCTGACCACTTCAAAAAACTCTTGAATCAACCACCACCTGCAACTCGTCCAGAAATACCACCAGCAGACCAGCCACAGAATAATCAGAAAACACAAACATTCCGACGCAAAGAGCGGTGAAGTCCTCAAAGCCATAAAGTTAATGAAAGCAAGGAAAGCAGTGGGACTAGATGGAATTCCACCAGAAGCACTGAAAACAGACGCAGAGATAACAGCGGACATCCACACATCACTATAGCAAAAGGTTTGGAAGGAAGGAACGAAAGGTACCTGCCTATTGATTGGAAGAAGGGCTACCTTATCAAACTCCCAAAGATGGGAGACCGAAGCGTTTGCAAGAACTGGTGCAGAATCATGCTTCACTCATGTCCACCCCAAGCAAAATATCATGTCGCATCGACATGGTGAGACTAAACGATGCGCTGGATTCAAAATTACGACCAAAACAGACTGGCTGGATTAAGGAATAACAAATCATGCGCAGACCAAATTCCAACCCTACGCTACACATCATCATAGAACAGAGTATAGGATGGCAGTCAACCCTCTACCTCAACTTCATCGACTTTGAAAAGGCCGGCCTTTGACAGCGTTGACCGAGAAGTAATTTGGGACCCAGCTGCTTCAACACTACGGTTTTAGTGCCATAAACAACCTTTATCAATCTCATTCAACAGCTATTTGACGACACCACATGCCGAGTGATTCACAATGGAAAGCTCAGTGATTCCTTTGAAGTGAAGACAGGAGTAATACAAGGTTGCCTAATACCACCGATGATCTTCCTGATTGTGGTCGACTGGACTAGATCATGCAACAAACTGTGAGGAACGAAAAGAGGAGAGCATACCGTTTGAGAAGACCGATGAAAAGATCCTAGAAGGTTTGGATTTCGCCGGTGATTTATGTTTAATGTCGCACAAACTGGAAGATCTACAGGCAAAAACTAACACATTGACAGAAGAGGCAGTGAAGACAGGACTTCAAGTGAACGTAGAGAAGATAAAGGTGATGAAGATACTCAACCAACAACAGCATCAACAACAACCACCGATCACCATCAACAGGAGAAACCTAAAGGAAGTAGTCTCATTTACCTACCTAGACAGCACCGTTTCAACTACAGCCACCTAACCCTAACCCTGGCAGTAGAGACGAGGATGTCAAAGCCAGGATCGGAAAGACAGCAAGACAGGTGTTCATTAACCTGAAACCAGTGTGGAGATCTTCTGCTGCACTCAGCATAAAGTGTGGACAAGATCCGGATTTTCAACACCAACGTCAAGTCAGTGTTTCTGTATGGTTTAGAGACTTGGTGCGTTACGAAAGCATTTCCAACAAACTACAGGTATTCATCACCAACTGCCTACGCTGGCTCAATACTGAAGATCAGATGGATGACCAGAATAACAAGAATAAGCAACAAGGAATTCTGGTGTGGCAACGAGCCAACCAAGAACCTATCACTCAATAAATCTGCAGAAGGAAGTGGAGATGGATTGGACATACACTGAGAAGGCCGAGTGGGGACATCACGCACCAGGCTAGGCTAGGCCAGGCCAGGCCAGGCCCTCGAGTGGAAGCCAGATGGGAAACGACGAGTTTGGCATCTGAGCCGAGGGTGACACTGAGGAGATCGTGGGAGGAAGAAATGAGAGCTTGTGGGTTGTCGTGAAGCCAGGTTTAAAAGATTGCAGAGAAGAGAGTGCACTGGAGACGTGCTACTGAAGCCCTATGTTCCACTAGGAACCCAAGGGACAAATAATAATAATAATTTGCTAGTATTGAACTATGAAATATTGTGAACTTCAAACTCTGATACAAATAAAAACTTATTTTCAGTGATCAATACTGTTCGAGAAACTTCTTAAAGTTGAGAACCACCAAATAACTGTTTCTCCTCATATGATAAAATAAATAAGGTCTAGAAATATGAATCACTAGTTTCAGACCTATTAGTTGAAAAATAGTTTGTCAAGCAAAAAGACTGAGTCTTTTCTTATTCTATGTTGGGGAAATTTTACTTACTGCTGAGAAATTCAGTATAAGACTGAATAACTCTCAACTTCCTCATGACTTTCAATTGTTTCTTTAACCTTTCTTGTTATTTAATACCTACGAAACAATTGTTTCAAAAAAGCACTTTTAGGTAGATTAGTTCAACTATAAACAAAAAGGGATAAAGGAGAACATAAAAAACTATCTTTCTAACTACTCATAAGAATATGAAAGTGAAACTGTTTTCTTTTGAACTTGATGATTAGCAACTATTTGCTCACCACATTAGCAAAAAAAATGACACGTAAAATGATTGAGTTTCTACGCGCTTGTTGACGAATAGATTGGGTATTAGTAGATACATCAATGATACCAGAAGTTTCTGAATCAGTAGAAGCAGCGATCTTTTCTAATTGGTGAATATGCTCATCCTGACGTCGATAGAACTCCCTAAAACAATGAATCATAAAAAGGTTTAATCACAAAATATAACATAAGTATCTCAACACATGTTTAATTTGCATTGCAAAAATTTTATCACCACCGAAAAACTAATTCGTATCTCCCAACTAAAAAACAAATTTTCATGTCATCTTGTAATTGCTGACTCATGGTTAACCCCTTTTCAACTAAGAAAACTTTTGAGTGACAGAATGATTGCTCTGTAGACAAATGACTCTCACTTATTAACGAAATGATGTGATATAGTTAACTTTACTCGATCAAATGTTCTTTTAAAATTTTAAATAATGTTTCAGGACAGCTTGACACTAACTTATAGCTTGAAGATAGGCAGTAAAGTCGTTGTATCCATCCACAACTTCACTTGCCTGAGTCATTTTGGTCACAATGACGCGATCAACGATGGATTTTAAATTCGAATATAAGAGAAATTTTTCGCATTTACTGACCCATACTATCTTTTCTTCTGATAGAGTATCCTACTATCTACAAATGAGGTGCAGGCTGCGTATAAGTCCATTTTACTCAGTAGAATAATTTTGAGATATAGATTTTGAAAGGTAAATACAGGGAAAGATTACAGACTTTAGATTGAATGTGACTGTAAACCCTTTTTCATACATATGGGGCAACATAACTAGCGATGTAGAGGTCAGTCGTAGAGGACTAGGAGAAAAAGATAAATCATTGAGTCAGGTTGCAAATGTTTACTGACTGAGGCCAGTCAAACATGTGTTGGGCATACCAAAAGCCTAATCTGTTCTCATGCGCAGTGACAAATGAAACACAGTTAGGTTTGTAAATATCTTAGAGTAACAAAAGTGTGTACAGTCTATAATCTCGGTTAGAGTCCTGTAGGCTACTCGATTACAGTCCTTGGGATGATAAGAATCTACAATTTGAAACAATTTGCACAGGGTGATGATCTTTCATAACGGTACAAATAAATCAATGGTTGTCATCCTCAGAGTGCTGAAAGTCCTATCCAGGTTTGGTTTTTGTCCTCCCTCCCCTCATACACAATCATCCAATTGTATTTTACTCCCGTTCTTTCTACTTTGTTTGTTTGTTGCTGTTGACAGCAGCAATTCGAATATACGAAATCCTCTTCAGAGTTAAAACTGATTTGCCTGTCTACCAAAGTTAACAAACTAAAACTAACACGAAAAATGGTTGTGTAGTACAATAACCTATTTAGTTCGACAGTGAGCATTCTCGTTTTGTAGTTCATGAAAACGCATGAGTAAAAACATTGTATCCAGACATAGGCTGCTAGCTTCAACATATAATCCATTATGCGAAAACTTGAATAATCACGCCAGTGAAAATGCATCCAATTCTTATCACCCACGAAAATCTCATTTTCTCATGAAAATCTACCATTTTTTACTCTCACTCAAACTTTCGTCTGAAAACCTTATTACCATTCTGTTGCTGCTAGCTCTTTGTTTATAGTTTGTAAACAAAATAAATTATCTGCTGAATAATTTACTTCACGTTGTGTGTAAAAGCTTAACAAAACCAATGATTTAACTTTATATGATGGAAAAATATCAATACCAACTTACACCACTTGTTTTGACATTTTCTTAATGTCATTGTTGGAGCTCAAATGTTGCTGGAAAACTTCAATCGGATGTGTTCGCCAGCTTTCACCTGTAAATTTAAATCGAATTAACAGAAATACTAAAGTCACACATTTTTTTTCTAAAATTCATTATATTTAGTTGCCTTTACTAAGACGTTGACAGCAGCGTAAATGAAAGTTGTTTATAACACCCAGAAGTATTTTATTTCACCTAGTTTTGCAAATCAAGCTTACCAGCGGGTTTTCAAAATTATAATTTAGCCGAATGAGTTAATTGTTTAGTGATGATGAATCAAGCTATACAGTCTTCAAAGGAAAACAATATTGAATTCATGCGCAGGAAAATTGAAAAGGAAGAAAAATAGCAATAGTGTTGTTTGCAATGAAGATCAAATCATTCGCCAGGTAACTACACAGTATAGGCTTATACCGCAGACTAGACACTTTGAAAAAACATATACCAAGTTCAAATACGTAATTTTGAACACATGAAAGATAAAGAATCTGTGGTAGGGGTCAGTAACGCTAGGTCTTGATTATGAATGAAATTTCAGAACGAAATTTCCAGTTTCCTACTATTTTGTACAGACTAATTTCTTAAGGCTGCGATTTCATCTAATCCGGAGATTTGTATGACTGATCGTGGCCCTTATGCCCCTATAAAAGTGCGACTACTTTATTCATAATGCATCTATTAACTGCTCGAATGCCGTATACTGTATCCTTAGGCCCTTTCTTGCATCTATAAAGCAGTACCAACATCTCTAGACTATCATAATTTAAAAAGCACTTCTTTCAGTTGGACTTTCAAATAGGGGGAAGAACAACAGTATCTTAGTGTAATACGACTATTCTTAATATGTTAACATATAGAGTGCACAAAATGGCGTCTTAGTTTTGTCCAAATGATTTAATGTTAGCTAGTTAAGAGGAAGAAAGTCGGTCACCTTACTTATATCAGTTTGAAATCAGGCCAAGATATGGAAAATGAAAGTAAATAAATCAGTTTAGATTATATCATAGGTCAAAACCGATACAGCATTGGCTGTATTACACTGTGCAGACCGAGAAACAAACCATGAAACATATCATAACGCATCATTTTTGTCTTGTATCCCGCGAGATTACATCTTAGAAATGTTTGCCAACGATAGTAAAAACAGAAATTTGAATTTCGCCTTGTGAATCATGAATCGATCCATCAAGCAGACTACCGAGGAATAATAGACGTATACAGATACAGCTCAGCTCAATTTGTCAAAACTGATGGTAAACCAATCTACTGAAATAAATTTAATTGAATTATTCATCGAACAGCTTTCTAATTTTTCTTATGCGGCCTTTTTATTTTAAACGTAAATATATTCACGCTTGTAGCTTTCAACTTAAAATCCTGACTTTTAATAATCAGCAGCTTTAAAAACAGCAACTTTCTAATGATATCTTATAGTTTTAATAGTTTCAATCTTAAATCGTATTTAATTTCAGGTATGTGATTTAATATGGGTGAAATCGAGTTGTTCTACCTGTGAAATGAGTAGTCAGAATTGAGTGGATTGTCTGCGATTTTAAGCCTGAAAATTTAAAAACTTTTTTGTCTTTTTCGGACGCAAAATAATGTGACTTTTCCCTGAGGTTTACATGCTTCGTTGTAAAAATGATATATGTCTTAATGGCTATGAAGTTACGAACATAATATCCATCCAAAGACAGTTGATAGAGACTGAAGGTTAGAATGGACGTCTGTGGTGTAAAATCCAAGTCTAAAAGACCAGAGCTAAGCTTGAAGGTTCAAATCATTATGAAGAAGCCAAAAAAACAGTAAAATGCTAAGAAGCATATTTCAGTTTAAGCACTGAAAGGATGATCAAAAACGTTCACTTGCGGACACTTTCAATAAAAAATACTGCTAACTTACTTGAAATCACGATTTGTGGTCATACGAGTGAGAATTTTGGCTTTTATTAAATATTACAGCGTACGACTCAGTACTAAGAAATAATAATTTTATGCGTTTCTTTGTCTATAATCCCCTTAATTTTCATGAAAAGTGTAATTTGCAAATTAAATGCAAATGAAAAAACCACTTCAACCAACAGAGGATATGAAATCAATAATCTAGAGGTAACTTTCTTCAGTTCAAACGCAATCAATATTAAGCCATAAGAGTGAAATCTTTGTTAGCTTGAAGTAAAGACAAATTGTTCAAGATCAACGGACGATCACTTCATGGGCTGCTACAGGTCATTGACGGGGACAAAATCTTTTCCTTTAGTCTCACAAGAGGTTTACTAATGAAACAGGCAACTGTAAAGTACTCAATGAGTCGATCAAGGATGATATTACGTTTTAATTCCACCGGTAAAAAATTAGACGTTGCATACGCTCGACAATCATTATTATATTTCTAATGCTGCTAGAGGAACCCTCGTACGTAAATACAGAAGATTCGCCTTCAGTTTAATAAAACGTCTGTCACAATGCTATTAAGATATAAAATAGTGGAAGTAGGTAATGAAAAATTAGTCACAACCATAATTTCTAAACGTAAAAAGCTGCCGTAATTTTGACGCCTGCACAATTATGTCACATTCTGCACCAAGATTCACTTTATTAACAAACCTGTTGAAGTGACTGCATTTGAACAGTTCGCTGCAAATGGAATCCCCAGCTCAACACCATCTAATTTGCCAGAGACCGATAACTTTGGCGTACAAAAAAGACGACATGTCAATTCAGTTTCCGTCACATGTTCATTGGTATTTTCCCTCTCAGGCATCGAGTAAAAACTTGGAAGGAGCTGACAACAAGTAGGCAAAAGTATCCACTTTAATTAATCACAAAGTCAAGTTCGCGAACTTCTAAAAAGTGTGTACAAGAGTAAATGTGCAACTGATGTAACTAAACAAATGTCCATCCACAGTTTTCATAATCCAACAGCAGCTCATTGTTCACACTGGTTTCAGCCTTTGTCGGACTCCAGTTCTATAACAACTGGCCACTCAGTTATTAATGCAATTTTCCAGTTTGTAACATCCAACAGATAAGCTTTCATGGCATTATACATCAGCACAGGGCCTAATTTCAACTCCTGTATTATTCTTCAAGTGATTTAAGATTGTTATATACAGAAAAGATTAAGTGCTCGACTTTCTTTTCGTGTCGTTAGAATTGCTAGACCAGGCCACCACAGCTTTATTCTTTTGACAAACACCAGGTCATTGAAAATTGGTAGCGTGTTATCCTCTTTTGAGTCCTGCTGACGCCGGTGAAGGCAGTCTAGATGATCTGAATCTTCGAACTTTTGATTAAATGCTTTGTTCGTTTAATTTTCAGATGTCCAAGTAAATGGGTATGCATTCGACGTGGTCATTCATCCTAGTAAAGTAGTACCACCTTATCACTGCCACCTGGAGTTCTGATCAGAGAAAAAAAAGCAGGTATAGCTTCTGAGCCTTTGTTTTTTCAAACTGCCGTGCATTGAGAGTCCCCACTATGTTTGTAGGTTTACGACAGAGTGATGCAAGTCTAAGCTGGGCTGTCTTATAAACCTGTACAAAGTGTTTGATATGCGTCTCTCTGTGAGCGAGAACACCTTGTTTCACCAGACGGGAAATTTCTGCACCAATCCGTATTAATTATGTGCGAGTCACTGGCCTTTAGATATGCACGTCAGGCTCTATTAAGATACGAGTCTTGCAAAACTAACACAATGCCTTTGATGGTTTGAAGATTCAGTGTTCCTTGAAATGTGCAGGTGCAGATACCCAAACTTAGAAAGTGGCTGTTTTGACAGCCTTTTGAGTAGGGTTTGCGTCTGACAACTTCATGCATGTAATTGCAGTTCTCCGTTAGTTGTACAGCGTGAAAGCGCTTATTTCTAATTGAGCTGGTTCACTTATGAAGTAAACTATACTTTCTGTCCTTAAAGTATTCACAAGGGTTTTTATCAGATATTTGTGGGCAAGAAGAACATTTAGCTTCAAGGTTAATGCACTTTTAGTTCTCCCGGGAGTACATACTTTTGAGTAATAGTCAGAAGTTCGAAGTAATTCGAACGACCTCATAGGCGGATAAGGGTTTGCGTAGGCCACAGGTACACTAATCGCGCAGTTGCTGCCATTCTACAAAAAAGTGTAGTGCAAAGGCTCATAGATTCACGATTCGCAGCGCGAACAGAGATCATGCCTTTGGTGTGTTCGTGAAGTCGCTGAATGATACGAATACAAAATTTATGGTGAATTTTCCTACTTGCAAGGAATAGAAGTCACCTTTGATAGGAAGTGGTGTATGAATGTTCACCGTGCTGAACAAGAGAAACAGAAAATACCGATGACTCGCAGATAACTATGACAACCTGCTAAGAGTAAAATGTGGAGACCATGGTAGGGTACGATTTTACACTATATTGTTTGTCAAGTCCACCAAACGGCAATAAGGCGTTACTTACCCTATGACACTTCGAGCAGAATTGACTGCTCACAACCATATCAAATTAATCATACAACTTCACCTATTCAGTCCAACAGTTCTTCACTCCCTTCTTTTAACAGTCGCAAATTTCTTCAAATATCTGAAATAGGTGATGAGTCATTCGTGTCACATGGGTTAGGTATGATTCAGTGAACAAAGATTCTGTAATCAATCTCTCCCTCCACCCAACTGTGTTGTATCTTAGAAAGGTCACGGCATCGCAATCCACAGTTTGATAATGAGTCGGCTAATAGAGAATGATGTTCAAGGCTTTTCTAAATTGTACTCCATTATCCTGACTGACCCGAGTCTGCTCCTCTGACCTGCATACTCGACCTCGTAATCACTACATGGTATTTGATAGATTGTTATTTTGTTGAATTAGATCTACTGGATCTCGTGGCTTACGAAACTTTCTCTCTGAGTGAGTTTGTGGGTATAACCGTAACCCTAATTCCAGGATTGTTGAGAATCTTACATAAAATTTCCCATATGCACTCATTATGTGGTAACACTGCAGTGGATTAGAATTCTACGTAGTCGTGTTGCAGCTAACACTCATGCTGCTGTTCCGTCTCTTGTAAGTCCTAGCAAAATTTCAATAAACTTTGGAGAGCAGTTATTAAGATCTAGAAAGCTGAAATAGGGAAGTCAAACACAATGAAGAGGCATTATTATTTTTTTTTAAAGTAGCGATGACTTATCCATAAATATGAGAAACCATGTAAGGGTAAGTTTTAGCCACTTTGTCAAGGTTGAATTCCTTATGAAATTGTATATCCGATGCAAAACAAAGTGACACGGACTTTATCGATCACCTTTGCCGAATGTGTCACCCAGTGAATACTGTATGCTGTGTCGAACATGAAATATTATGGACAGTATTTAGCTTCATTCAGACCACATGTACAAGTTTGATGGTACAATCAAAAAAAGCGAAGTACCGCCTTTAAAACTGGGGCTCATCCAAGAAGATTGTAAGGGAAATGTGAACGGAGAAATAACTCACAATCGATCAGTTATGGTTTTCATTTTCTAGTCATTAGGATAGTAGGCCAGTTGGCCTGTGTTAATCCTTGCAGAAAATATCTCCGTGGAGATCCAGTTTCTCCCCGAAGGCTTTGATAGTAGGTGCTGATACTACTTACTGAGGTAAGGAGCTCCAGTCGTTGCCAACACGATGTGAGAAACGCAAATTCGTGCCTAGTTGATTCGATCGGGCGTTTTGAATTTTTTTGTGAGGCCCCTGGAGATAGTCGGTCCTAGCAGGGGAGGAAAGATAGGACATATCGGTACCGAGGTCGTTATAAGGAGGACGAAATGCCAGTGTGAGATAACCCGGTCTTCTACGGTCCGACAGTGGGAATAGGTTTAGCTGGTCTAGTCTTTCCTCATAGGACAGATTCGAAAGGCCTGCGGCAATCCTAGCACCTACACCTTGAACAAGTTCGAGTGGGTCAGCATCCTTTTTTAGACACGGGTTGGCGCCTGAATGCAGTATTCCAAGTGAGGTCCAACGTAAGCGGAGTAGAGTATTCTGAACATGTCCTGATCAAAACTTTTAAAGGCTCTGCTGAAAGGACTATAATGAACGGAAACCCTTTGCAGCAGCTGCATTACAGCTTGCCGAGGTTTTCAAATCATGACTGATGATGACACCCAAGTCTTTTAGTTCAAAGAATGGGAGTAATGATGTACCATCAATGGAATGCTGGAAATAGTCGCTATGACCGATGTGCGTTACCACACTCTTGTTGGAGTTGATTTCCAAGCACCAGCGCTTGGACCAACCTACTGGTTCATCTAAGTCCGTTTGAAGCGTACACCTATATGCATCACCGCATATGGCTCTCCGAATCTTCGCATCATCAACAAAGGATAGTACTGAAGAGTTCAGCATTTTTGGCAATTCGTTGGCATATAATAAAAAAGTAGTGGACCGAGGATTGTTCCTTGAAGAGCTTCACTCCTCGCAGGTTCCCGCGAATAGTATCTTATTTACCCTCACTCTCGAATTTCTATCGTACGGAAAGCCCCAAGCTTGCAATGAGGCACCAAACACGAAGGGGCATAGCGTTCCTAATAATTTCACACGCGACGCTGTCAAATGCCTTACTGAAGTTTATAAACAAGGTACCCATTGGCAGCTTGCAACCAAGGACTGTAACCCATTCTTCTCTTTTTCTTTATAATATAGTATATAATATAATACACATATTTCATACAACAAAGGTTACATGAATACAAACCAGTTTACAGGTTTGACCATTTCGGTAATGAGAAGTGACTATTATGTACAATGTTAAGCTATACATTAGATACCGTTATTCATGGCATATGTTAAAGCAGGCTCAGTTAGAAATTAAAAATCGCCCGGTTATTGTCTGAATCTTCCAATATTCTTGAAGGTGGGACGGGCAGTACAGTCATGACCCTAGGGTGTGTGCGTTCGTCAAAAGGTTTTAATGGCATGGCGCACAAATGCGATTTCTAGGATTCCATTTGAATGCACGACTGGTTAGGTAGACCTGAAAAGTGAATAACAAAAACGAGCAGCAGGCGAAAATCGAAACAGGAGCACAAAAATACGCAGGACTAGATCAAGCATGATACATCTGAGTGAGTTCTTCCTACTGACTGCAGAACTTACTTCAAGGAGTATCCAGGACCGACTGTTTAGAGGTAAGCTTAGGTGGAGGAAGATGAAGGTGCGCACGACAGTAATGAAAATCAGTCTAAAGCTGATGATATCACTACGAAATAGAAAGATTAGAGGATTTTGGACCGGGTATTCACTTGTTATATACCTATGCACAAGCGTTTGATGAAGTTATAAACATTTAAGTGAAATTCATGGTTTTTTCTAAGACGGCAACCACCCTTTATCTGCTCACGAGGGGGATGATCATGGTGTTGCCTGTTGAGCGTTACCATATCGGGGCTACCGAAACTATGTTGGTGCAGAGTACTTACATGTAAGTACTGATAACAAAGGGCAAACAATAGAGAGTCGCATGCTTTGAAAATGTACCAACAGACAGTTCTTTTATCTTTTCGGAGTAGAGAGATTACTTTAAGGGACGAATTTTAGGAACTAGGTGTTTGGTCGTGAGATCAGTTAGGTTATGAAGAAATTCAGAGTAGCTGCTGAGCTCACTGTTGCATATCGTATCACACTCCGCTTCCTGTTCACTCTTGATCATCTTTTTTTGATTTTTTTTTAAAGAAATTAGATTCGGACTTAACTATTGCGTTTAGTTTTCGGCATTGTATACTTTTACCGTTGCTGTCAGTCTCCCTTGAGTCCAGGTACCAGTAGCACCATTGTACGTGATATTACCGTTTGTGGTTTGGCCGTCAGCGAATTGATGAGATTCGTTAGATAGGAGGAATCCACCAAGTAATCTC